AAAAGGTTCTTTTCTCTGCCCATCCGTGCCACGTCTGATCTCTCTCGTGATCCCTTCAACAAGCTCTAACGACAAACAAAAATTTCTTGATTACGCCCGAGCGCCTCTGAACGAGGAGGAATGGTAACGAGCTCGATCCTCCAAGTTGATGCTTCACTACCGTAATCGCATTACTACTGTTATTCTATTTAATAGTATTTTCATACTAATAATTACTTAATTATTATTCTTGTAATAGAGAGTTTCGGCCTCGCCAATCAACACGTAGAGCGCTCTTCTTCCTGCTGATGATGCACCGTCAGTCGAGATGGTTGAGGTCCTCGTTGGGAGGAAAAGAAGGCGCGCCATGTTATGCTCTTCCTGTCACCCTGGTGTCAGTATACCCCCCCTGGACGTAGTGTCCGTCCATGTGCTCGAGCTCTCCGTTCTCATTGTCCCGTAAACAAACCCTTAGATCGAGCCGAACATGACACTGTATTCAATAAAACAGAGCATAACATAGCATAGAATAGGATAGAATAGCAATGTCAATAGACTGCGGCATTCAGAATAGCATGGAATAGCATGGAATTGCACAAAACAGCGTGGCATAGCATGGAATATAGCAGAGAATCATTGTAGAGAGCAGAGATAGTCTTGTGAAAGATAAAGAGTTCCTTCCCGCCAAATTGGCCCTGATTGGTGGGGACTATTCCACGTTTTGCCGTGGATATAAAGTCTGCTTTGAAAAAAAATCCCTGTTCTCGCAGTGTACTCGACAGTTTCCTGAGATGAGAGCCAACTATTGAGGGCCGGTGAAGGCGTCACTTGAAGCGGAATAGAGAACCAACATGCAAGCCCAGTGTCTATGGTCCCGGAGTAGGTAACCTCACAAGCTCTCAAGCGCCTGTACTCCGCACGCTCATTTAGACAATAAGGTAGTGTAAACCTGACACGTGGCAGTTATTGGCCATCAGGTACTCTCTTGGCAAAAAGTGAACGGCTGCCACACGGACAAGTCCACAATGCAGCGGATGATTTCGGAGATCGACGACGGGCGAGCCAGACAGACAGAAATTCAATCTCCTAACCGCGGTTACGAGTCTAAGAGTTCAAGCCAACTGCACTCACGTAGCACGGTCATAACCACCACCAGTAACACCACCGGCTTCCCGGTGTTCGAATCATCTTGAAGAGATGGCTGCTAGGCGTCTTGTTGAAGCTTGATGGCGGCACATGACGGATGAGCTGCCACCGCGCTTTAATTATCGATTAGCAAAGCACAAGCACAAGGCGACTGTCTTTACACCACATAATCGAAACTCCCGGTCATTAGAGCCAGATCCGAGCGAACTTTCAGTCTAGATACGGCGATTATGGTCGGGCGTTCTATTCGAGTGTAGACGTTACCGTCTGTCTTTCTGCACGACAAGCCAGGAGGAGGTGCATAACGTGGTGGTGTACGCGGAGTCGCACCGGTTCTACCGGTACTAGCGACATGCTCAACAAGTACAGGGGGAAATATACATTGGCTGACAGGGGGGCTCATTCTGCACGTGCACGTCGCGGTTAGTCAGCGCTAGCGCCGACGCTGGCCTGTCCAATTTGACAGGGAGGCCTTTCAGGCCTTTTTTTAATTATCGTTTAGTATTACGGGGAGCCTCGTAGCAGCCATGGAGGGAACATGTCTGCCAAAGTCGGGCCGGAGCTTTCCAGGCAAAACCCTAAACCCTAAACCCCCGCCAGTAACAATCAGGAACTGGCAAGCTACTGGTAGCTGTGCAAAACCCTAAACCCTCAACCAGAGGTTTTGCCGAGCATCCTTTTTCTCCCTTTTTCCTTCCCCCTTGGCCAATTGCCTGTGTTCGCAGCCCATCAGGGTTGCGTTTTATGCCCTTGAGACCTTCAATTTCTTCGCTATCGATGTCGACCTTCCCCAACTCCGATCCCAACCACCCCTGCCCAATCACGCTTTCCCCACTCCCATTTGCGCGCCCCCCCTCGTCGCGCCCAACCCCCTGTCACGTCATACCACCCCCACCCCGGTCCGGTACCGGGTTACTCCGGCCTGGACCAAGGCCGGTATATCTTTCCGGCCTAGGCCCAGGCCGGGTTGGTCACTCATTCAGTTGTTTGTTCTTCATTGAGTCGGACTGGACCCTCACTCAGCTGCTGCTTCTCGTGTGTGTCCATCTCCTCTCTCTCTCTCTCTCCCTCTCTCTCTCTCTCTCTCTCTCTCTCTCTCTCTCTCTCTCTCTCTCTCTCTCT